ATTGGAAAATAGACAAAACTGTATTCAGATGACATATCGTGTCCCTATAACCACTTCATTCGTTTTAGAAAAACATATTTTTTTAAGAATTCATGCTAGATCTAGATCCACATTAAACCGCACTATTCGTCGTCGTAGTTGTTCTCTGGTGGGTATCGAAGAATTTTACACCTTCTCGTTTGAAACATCCCATGAAAAGTCAAGCGTCGTGAGATCGGGTCATCTCGGTGGTCAATCAGATGGAACCTAACACCCAAACTAACGATCATCAAACATTTCGTAAAGATTCCTTGATTTCGCAAAAATCGTTAAAACACGTCCTTAGTATGGATATATCTCCCAGCATTCAGTGTATCATTGTAACTAAAAAAGCCAGTATTGTCAATATACAAAAAACATTTGGATGTATGATACAACAAAATCTTTCAGTGTACTACGAATTTTGTTAACAACTTAACAAAATTGTCCTCTTTTGAAGTATAAATAAGTTTTGGTAATGTTGGAGACCACTTTTAACTTTGAGCCATAGTTGACGAAATTATTTCGTTACCTATCAGAATGCTTCTCATTCATTGGCTATAATTAAGGACAATTTGGTTGAATTTGCTGCAAATTCTTCTGATGATTTACATTGTCCCTGTATATGTCCCATCAGAATATCATTTTGAGTAAGGATGATTTCTGGACTACTTTCAATAAATTCAAACGGAAATAATCATTTATAAAAGTCAGCAAATTGTCATAAGCTTGATATTTCCACGGCAACCTGAAACTGGAAGCACTCGAGTGTTATAATTATGGGTAGAATAGCTGCGCTGCACTTCAATTCGTACGGAAAAATATGAATGAATGGTAAGTGATCAAAAACTGTTCAATTGATTGATAGAGCAGATATAAAATTGAGCAGCGCATTGAAATCAGTGTATATGTGAGGTATATCCTACTACGTGAAAATCCTACAACGTCGAATTCTCATTACGTCAAATTCTTGTCATGTAAAATGATCTCGAATTTCGACAACTTTCGTATTTCGGTGACATAAGGGGAAGAGATGACTTTCGACGTAGTGAGAATTCGAATTAATGATATGCATCGATACAATAATGGACAATATATTTCAGCGACTCCCTTCCCGTTTGGATGTTTAAGAAATTCTAAGACCACTTTATTATGAACGATCTTCATTCTTCCATTTTAATCAACACTCTCTGCTTTTCAACAACGACCATCTCGACTATAGTTTGCAGTGTGTCGAAATGTATGCCTGTATATTACGCGTCTAGAGTTGAAATTCAAGAAAATTAGATGATTTAGGTATATGGACATAATATGTCACCTGGAAGCATGTGTTTTCAACTTTCAGCTCAGCGACTAATATACAGGGGGTTTCAAATGGAATAACGAACTACTGTTCACTTCATGCTCAACGAAACTAATATTATTTTTGCGGGCCCTGTATGATTCTTTGTATAAGTTACATACATTGAGTTTGTCCAAACTACTGTCGATATTTAAACTTCTTATGAATTGAGAGTACTAACTCAGCTAAGTTCAATATGGGCTATGTTTTTGATCATTTATTACAAATAATTTTGTATCTCGAAGATAGAGATAGGTATATTATTAACGAAAAAAATTTGAAATAAAATGGCGATTCTGAAAAGAACTAGAAATTTCTGATAGAAGCGGCAATGTCGCACTGCTGATCGAACAAGTAAAGGCCGGGACACACTTCTTCATACACCTCTCCAATCCGACTCCGATATGATTTTGCCCCAAAAGTGGATCGGTCCGATTTACCTCTCAGGCTTGATACACTTGCCACTCTCGCCAGTGTCGATTCAAACAATATCTAGGAAGGTCCTCTAAGCAAAATGTTCAAGAATTTTAGCAACTGCGATTTAGCCGTTTAGGCACTCTGTTTGGAAGAAAAAGATGAGGAAAATCGGAGAGCTCTCATAGAGAACAGCGGTACAGCTCTTCAGTCTGGTCATATAGAACTGGATATTTTCTCACTTGTTCAATAAGCTCATCAGCAAGCATCAATAATAGGAGGCTGTGATCATTGTATTTTGACACTTCAAAATATCAAAAAAACTCGTGTTTCGTTGCAATAAAGAATATTGCACAGCCAGTAAAATGAATAAAATTCTTTGTTTAAAAAATGAATCGATTTGAAAATCATACTATATGCAAAATATCAAGAATTCGTGTTTCGTTGCAATAAAGAATATTGCACAGCCAGTAAAATCAACAAATATCTTTGTTTAAAAAATGAATCGATTTGAAAATCATACTATATGCAAAATATGCGTGAAATTGTCTGATGTCATTATCAATCATCGTACCGTGACTCGCATTAATAAAGAATTGTGGCTTCAACTTGAAGAAAGAAAATTCATTCCGAATTGTTCACGAATATTCGCATCTAAACTACGCAAAGTTGAAAGTACTGAATGGGAAAATGGTGAATAAATTAATTAGCGTCTAAATATTATATATATTTTATTAGACATAGACAGTTAATTGAAAACATTCAAAGTCCTGCATTTTCACCATATAGAAGAGATGAGGTGTCCGAAGAATATAGAAAACATCTTAGCTTTGTAACTGAAATGTATCAAAACTTAATAATATTATGTGAACAAATAAAAACCAATCTGTCAAAAATGGTCTGTTATTCTAAACGTCAAAAAATTTCCAGTATAATTCGCTGTTGGGTATCCCACGAGAAAAATATTTCCACTAGAATACCTCCTTTGCCATGGTGATTTGTCAAAATAACGTATTTTGATTAATTGAAAATGACAAGTGTGGAATTTTCAGAAAAAACCTGCGTTGCGTTTTCCATAAACATCACGCTGTAAGAATCGAGACCAATTAACACTAATAAAAGATAAAACTGAAATCTCAGACGTGAAATAAAACAAGCACTTTTTCCAATCACCAGAAATGCAATACCCTTCTTGACGTGCGATTCACCAACCCAGTTGGCATCTTGAGCACATGAAAAAACTAATCCCTAACTTTGAAGCTGGTCTCTATTTATATTCAACAGGGTATACTTTCACTTTAGAATATACCTATTGATAACAACAAGGAGAGATGAAATGAAGTTTATTGAAAAAACAGACGTTACCCACCAAAAAATTATTAGTGGCCTCTGAGGTTTCAAAAGAAAGCAAGGGCCAAGAAATGCAGACACAAACAACTAGTTTTTCAGTCTGAAAAAATAATCATAGATATTTTGAGAAATTCCGATAACTTACAGAACGTGAGTCTTTGGTACATTTTCAGGGGGTCATGAATATGAATGATTTATACAGTCCTGAAATTGAAAATGAGTTTCAGCTTCAAGACGATATTTGTGAGTGAAACAGTAAAAGCAATAATAATAGTAGTTGGGATCATCAATGAAGCTTTCCGAAACAAAGATCAGCAGGCGACCTTCTATCGTATGTCATCCATATTTGGAATACCGCAATCGAGAAACATGGAGAGTTAAGAGCTTTTGCGCTTGATTTTCACTAGTTCGGACTTCCATTGTCTACTATATAAAATGATTTGAAATCCCTGAAATCCCAGTCATCACTCGAAGACGATTGTAGATACCAACAATCGAAACGTCGTGAACTAACGTGACTTGGAATCTCTACACTTTTTTATTTTTTTTTTTTTGCATTCCTTTAATTTTTATTTATTCAATTATTATATTTTTACTTGTAGGTTATTTCACTATCATTTCATTTCAGGTTTATTGTTGCTTTATATAATTGTTATTTTCAACTATTCTTTTTTAATTATTCTTTTTTACTTGTTTCAGGGATTTCAAATCATTTTATATAGTAGACAATGGAAGTCCGAACTAGTGAAATTCATCACGAAACATTGTCAATCACCTTCAAACAATTTTGCGCTTGATATTTCTTGTCTCGTCATTCCATTTGGATTTCAGGACATCGACTGCGGATCCACATCTTCACCGGTAGCAGGAGGTTGTATATCTGAATGAGAATCTGATCAATCTGGAGGTATTTCGAATTGGGGTGAAAGTAATCAGGTTTAATTCAATACCACGAAAACCCAAGCAACGGTTTTCTCCAGAAAGATAAATGTTTCCGAACCGAATACAATAATGTCAGGACAGGCAATTCCGCTTTCTGCTTCGATGAGTTTGTTGAGGGTTAAAATGAACACTAACATGTCTTGGCACAATCATGTCGCTGAAATTGCAAAGGCTGCTTCTCAAAAGCTTCGAACAGTGTTCTGAACCAGAAAACTGTACGCAACCTTGATAGTCTGGAACATCGAAGAAAGATTGGAGATTTGTCTCTCTTTAATAGATACTTTCTCGGGAAGTGTTCAAATGACTTGGCACTTTAAATTCTACCAAGAGCGCTATATTTCAGAAATACACGACGAGCTTACAGTACACTTCGAACTTCACTGTTTGATAATTCTTTCATTTGGAGATATGTCTTCATGAGAAGAACGTTTTGCCAAATGGATATTGATCTTCAGCGATTCAAATCCAATGTGAATCACTACATTTGCACAGGCACCGCTCTTAGAGCGTCTTGAGGATTTCTCTGTAGTGCCTGTAATTTGTCCTAAGAAAAATTGCCAAAAGTTATTGAATGGATTTAAATATTCCGATATAGAACGCATAAGTTATAAGGCTGATAATCATTTTGTATTTCTGTACAAAAAAGTATCTAATAGCTTCCTGAAAATATAGCATTAACTTGCGGTTTATTCGTTCAAGAGTATTATTTGTGGTTGAGTTGTGGTTAAGTTGATTTGTTTGTTATTGTTTGCCCACGAAATATCAAAATTTTGAAGGATAAATATCTGGAGAAACCGAGATCTACACAAAAAATGACCTCAATCATTTACAAAATTTCAAATTTTGACAAGAAACCGATACAGGAAAAAGTCACAAGAAATCGAAATGTCACGAAATTCTGACTTTATATCTTACTCTATTATAATTCTCTCACCTGGAATGACATCTTGAAACCCTCCAGGACGTACAGTCTTCGGTGGTTCTATAATAACCTTCGGTTCCCTTTCTCGAGGGCACATATCTATAACCATATTCACGTTGTGGATATAAAAAGTATTACTTCCATATCTGGATATATTTGCTAAGAAGGTATTCGCCAGTTTTTCTAGATCCAGATACCTAGTTATACAAGCGGTTCCATTCGGAGAAATAATACCATTAGGTCCTCGGTTCAGAGCATCACACATGTAATACATTTTTCGACCTCGCCAAATTGCTACCGACAAATCTGAAATTGCGAATTTGAAATATACGACATGTGATAAAATTAGTTGGTATAGTCGAAGTGAACGATATTGTTAAAGTTGGTGGCACTCGCAAATGAACCGGCTGCGAACTTGTCGACGTGGACTGTAGAATTGGCGGTTCGTATTGGCGTTACTAATCGAGTTTTATGATTGGCTGAAGAGTCATGAAATTGAATTTGGATTCATGTTACAGTGACGAAAAGAAATCGAGGAACGCGGGATGGTTATCGCCGTCGTGTTCAGTTCAGGAACTGTTCACGATATGAGTGTTGAAAATCGATATTAGTACAGTTATTACTACTTGAAATTTTTGTTATCTATTCAAAATGTGGTGTCCTTGGACGAGTACTAATAGTATTAACGACTGTGATAACGAAACATACTTTTTCCAGTGTTGTGATTCCAATAGCGATGGAGAACCAATAGTGGTGAAGAACAATGCGACAAAGAGATACCAATAAATGAGATTTGGATGCATTTAAATATTGAAACACAGAGAGTATGTTTCAATGTATATGAGAATCTACATCTCAAGTTTGGTTTCGAGGGAAACAAAATATCACAAGCAGCATCAAATTGGACCGAAATTCCTTTCTCAAAAGCAACTAAAATAGTCAAAAACAAAACTTATGAATACGAGACGCGATGGATACAGGATTACCGAAACCTTTAGATTTAGATATTTATCCAATGAAATTATTGGAAAAAACAACATACTACTGTTATAAAAGCAATGAGATTTCTACAACTGAAATCATAAGAAAGTAATTGAATACTTCCGGCCATAATGTGGACTGATGTGACAAAACTCTTCAGAACTGGATAAAGAAACTAGGATTTAGATTTAAAATAATAAACAAACGTCAAGCCATTATGGAAAGCAGAAGAATAGTGAAATTGCGTAACAAATACTCAGAACAAATAACTATAGAGAAGAACTTGGACGAAACTTGGTATGACACTCACGACATAGTTACGAATGAGTGGACCGATGGTTCGAAAATGTGGGCGGCCAATATGCCTGCACACAAATGATCGCGACTGATCATTGTGCATTGTGGAGGAAGTGAAGGATGGGTTTCGTATGCTTTTAAATTATGTGGAAAAAAACTTGAGGACTGCAATGTTGACTTTCATAAGAATATGGAAGCTAATATTTTCGAGGAATGGTTTGAAAACACATTGATCTCAAATTTGGATGCGAATAGTGTAATAGTTCTTGACAAAGCTTCCTATCATTCGCGACAGTTCATCAAAGTACCGAATAAAAACTCGAGAAAAGATGGAATACAAAGTTTTTCAATGTATAAAAATTTTTATTTTGAAGATTACTATATCAAAAACCAACTACTTGAAGTTTTACAGCCAAAAACATTCGAAAAATATATGCCCTTGAGAGTAGTGCTGAAAAGTATGGACACATCATACTGAGACTTCCCCCCTATTTTTGTGTTTTCAATCCCATGAGTTGATTTTGGAGAATGGAAACAAATCATCAGGCATGAAACTACTTATGATGCACTGTTTGAAACCTTTGGTGTAGTTACTAGAGTTTCTTTCCCAACATCAAATCGTTATTTTCAACACCTGTTGAAAATGATCAAATGATATTTGAAGATGATCACTTGGTGATCGAAACACGTGTCTATGTTGAAAATAACGATTTGATGTTGGGAAAGAAACTCCAGTAATATTCAGGCGTAAAGATAATTTTCCAAAATTTGATAAGACGGTGATAGAGCTAATTAAAGAAAAGTATCTGACATTACGGAAGAAAAGTGGCAGAAAATGATTGAAAAAGTAATTTCAGTTCAAAAAGAGTACATGAAGATTAGACATTTCCATATTAATAGTGGAAATTATATGGTTTCGCTTGCGTAAGTTGTATGGATTTGTTACCTGTTTTTCCACCTGAGGGTTGTTGATGGCTTTTGGCAGCTCTCCTACCTGTTTTTCTACCTGAGGGTTGTTAAAGGCTTCTGGCGGTTCTCCGATGGTTCATTATCAATTTGTGGTTGTCTTTGGGGGTTGTTTTTAATTTATTGTTTTCCAAATCCTTGGGATATTTAGTGAGTCATCCCTTTTGTTGATGAGGCCTTGCTTCTCGATTCCGATAGCTTCCCTGATTTGTCGAATTCTTAGGTTTTGCACCTGTGCTATCTGTTTTGTGGAATCAAAATTAATCTTGTGACCTGTTTGTAGATGGTGTTGAAAGAGGGCAGAGGAGGTTTCTTTTGTTCTTATCGAGTTTTTGTGCTCCTGGGTTCTGGCAGATATACGTCTGTTGGTCTGACCGATATATTGTTGACCACAGTCCTCGCATATTATACTATATACTCCTTGGTTTTCTAGGGAAATTCTCTCTTTCGGTCTGGGCAGCCAACTGGATATCGTTTTGTGCGGTTTGTAGGTTGTCCGGGTTTTTTACGTCTTAGTATTCTCCCGATTTTGTCGGTCACACCTTTGACATAAGGTAGTGTCACAGATTGTCTGTCGTGTGGAGAGTCTTCTGTCGATCTAGTGGATGTTTTTTTGGTTCTTCTTTGTCTGTCGATGGCCTTTTGAATTATCTTTGGTCCGTAGCCATTTTGTCGCAGAGCCTTTGTTGTCTCCCTCAAATCTGTTGCCCTGTTTGTTAGTTCTATTAGGCGGAAACAGCGGGATATTAACGTGTTGGCTACGGATTGTAGCTGGGTAGGGTGGTGGTGTGATGCTGCTTGTAGGTAGCGGTTGGTGTGTGTGGGTTTTCGGTAAACTGTATAACCCAAGTTGCCAGTTGGTTTTCGTGTTATAAGTAGGTCTAGGAAAGGTAGCTGCCTGTTCTCCTCTCTTTCGGTAGTGAACTGGATGCCATCACATCAAAAACAGTCCCCAATGAGGAAATAATCTCCAGTTTGGAAGCCACCTTACAAGACATGCCACCAGAGACCGCAGATGATATACGACTATACGACATTAAGTTGCACATGTCCTAAAAACACAAAAACCACCCAAATCCAACTTACCAAGAAAGAGATGCCCTTCAGAACTTGAAAAAGAACAAGAACATTATGATAACACCGGCAGACAAAGGCAATGCGACAGTAGTCATGAATACCACGGACTATCAGAAAAAGATGATGAACATCCTCCAAGACGGTTCTTATAAACCATCAGCCAGAGACCCGACGACATATTTAGAGAAAACCACAAAGGCCAAAATCCAGTCTTTCAAGCTAGGCCGGGAAATCGAGCAGAAAACTAAACAATAATTAAAAACAACCACCAAAGACAACCACAAATTGATAATGAACCATCGCAGGTAGGAGAACCGCCAGAAGCCATTAACAACCCTCAGGTAGAAAAACAGGTAGGAGAACCGCCAAAAGCCATCAACAACCCTCAGGTGGAAAAACAGGTAACAAATCCATATAACTTACGCAAGCTAAGCCATATAAAAACACCACAAGGTAATATAGCACTCTCAGTGCCGCGTTATGTCGATGGATCTAGGCCGAGACCGCATATGCTGAACATGCTGAGAGCAAGTGCATTATGGTCTGGGGCGCCTCGCGGCGGGCCCTGCACCTTGTGTCAGGAACCCCTATACCCATCACGCGACTGCGATAGACTAAGGTGTTGCAGACACAAACCTGGCAAGTCATGACGAACCCCTCAGTTTCTGACTTCAGCCCACTCGACCTGAGTAAAGTGAAAGATAGGCGCTTTGATAAGCCAAAGTCTCCAATGTTATTGAAGAAGACCCCATGCACTGGCGTATCCTTGTGTTTCCGCAGAAGTGAGGTGATCTCTGCGGCTTTTATATGAGCTTTCTGCTGAACGGGTTCCAACTCGGTGACAGAGTTGTGGTCACCTCGTTCAGTGTCGAAAACTAAACTGTTATCACCTATTATTATCATTATTATTTACAAACCTTTCGCTTGTAGTATCCCATAGTTACGCGTCTTGAAAAATTCTTCCACACCTCGTTTGACGTCAAGGATATTTTCGGAATTCCGTGCATTTACTTCGCCCACCACCACATTCGGTTCGACAGTTATTTCATTCAGAAATTTGGAGATGCATATTTTCTTAGGTATATCGCTCAACTCGAAATCTTCGTGTTGTATCAACCAATCTATCTCATCTTCGGAGAGTTTTTTGCGCGAATCTGCCAGTAGTTGCTTCTTCCTCATTCTCTTCACAAAAGTGAAAATCTTGTCGCCGTAACACAAGATGGAATCAACGCTAAAGTCGTTGAAACATACGATTTCGAATGCGTGGGCGATGAGTAGGGCGGCGTAACACACAGGAATGATTTGTTTTCCTCTATTCTGGATCGGAAACAACTCATCAAAAATATTCATCGTTCCTAAAAAACATCATTATATTATTACTCTAGTGTGAAGTTTGCCTCCATCGAAAATTATAATTTCGAAGACATGGTTTGATAATCACTTAGATTAAAGAACGTAATAAATACTTTAATAAAAGATATAAATAGTAGCAAACGTGATTCAGCAACTCAACCCCAAAATCGATGTGAAAAGGTATAAATTCCTTACTGAAAAATTCAACTGATGAAAATAAAGAAATTTAAAGTTTAAATCTGAACGGCATATATATCGATGATCCGCTTGTAATCTTTGAGGCAGATAATCGTAATCTGAAATAGATATTGGATCAACTCAATCTCTATTAGAATCTTTATTAGAATTTTTAAAAACTACATCTCACGATTTGATTTCTAGAAACTTCATTTGAAAATTATATCACAACATGTTTTGCTAGCATAGTAGCTTTGTCAAGTGATTTGAATACTTCAAGTTATTTTTTACATTAATATTTATATGCTACAGGTAACCATAATTGAGACTACCTCCAAAAAATTACCTAAACCTCTACCTAAGGTACCTGTGCTATCATGATCACCTGAAGAATATTACGTCACATCTTCATCAATTAACAAGTTCAATAATGGTGATCTATTCAAATCTATTTGGTCATTCTTTAGTAGTTTGAATTTTTGAGTTCATCAATTTCCATTGCTTTGAAATGATTCATTTCCAAACCTTTATTTTCTAGGTGTGAAATTTCGAACTCTTCGTTAAAGAACATACCTCTACCAGACAACGCAAAATTACTATCCTTTGATGTATAGAATCTATTTCCCAGCATACCTCCTGATGATACTAGATCTAGAGAAGTCGATCTTTAAACATCCTTTGATTAGGAATTTTTTGTATTGGCACAGATATGTGGATGACGTTTTGATATGTTTTACAGGTACTAAGAGGCAATTAGATACTTTTTTTCTACACCTGTACTCTAACAATACACTTATATGACCATAATACATTATATAATACATTATATGACCATAATCGTTTCATAATGATATCCATTATGATACAGATTTTTAATAACCATACAGATTATCAACCAATAGAAACCCATAATTTTTCAATCAAGAATCATGTTCCTTTGTTTGTCCTAGATTCTAACCTACCTATATTATCAAAATGTCTGAAAACAGCGATATAGAAGGAATACCATCGACTCCAATATTTTTAAAAGATCAGATTGATTACAGTTGTTATATTCAATATAAATATAATTAGAATCTTTATAGTTTTCATATATCCATGATAATACCATTAAGTTTGTGTTTTTTTTCAAAAATATGAGTTAATTACTGTAAATGTGTTCAATACAAATATAATATTTATAGTTTTTCATTATTTATCGGGTTTAGAAAAAATAGCGTATGCAACTCTCATGTAATGGTTATTAATACACTCGCATATACCATACAAAACTCGCCTTCGGCTCGTTTCGTATCCCGGTTAATGCTCGTGTCTTAATAACCATCATTACATGATCGTTGCATAATATACTATTATAGGGATACTAACAAAATTCATGAAAACATTAAATTCACTATTGAAATAGAAGCAGATAACTCAATCAATTTATTGCACATAACAATTAGTAGAAGGAACAACAAACACAAACCGTCCTATACGGATATTATATTACTATAAATTCTACCCATCCTTACCAACACAAAGTAGAAGCTTGTAATAGCATTATTCACAGATTATTCCATGTTCCTCTTTCAATAGATAATTTCAATAAAGAACTTAATATCATCAAGCAAATTGCGGTTATGAATGGATTCAAAGCCGAATTAATAAACAAAATACTTGCGAAGAAAGTCTACGCAAAAGCCATTTGAGACGTTTTTCCTATTGATAAGGTGGATAATCAAAATTATAGAGCTTTAACGTTTTTTGGACAACCAACGGAAAAAGTGGCTTCATTTTTGAGGAAACGAGATATTAAAATTGCATATACGTTGGGAAATTTAGTTATAATGAAGACAAAACATCCAAATTCGAGAAATCAGGAGTATATAAATTAAAGTGTGGAACGTGCCGAGGTAACTATTGGTCACACGGGCAGAACATTCAGGAATCGAATTTCACTAGTTCGGACTTCCATTGTCTAATATATAAAATGAGTTGAAATCCCTGAAACAACTAAAAAAGAATAATTTAAAATGAATAGCTGGAAATAACAATTATATTAAGTAAAATAAACCTGAAATGAAATAATAGTGAAATAAACTACAAGTAAAAAAATAACAATTGAATAAATAAAAACAATTCGTATTACAGAGAACAAGAAGGAACTAGACATCATCAAAAATGATCTTCAACGGAATGGCTACTCCAAAGCGATGGTAGAAAAGACTTTGGCTATAACACAGCAGGAGTCTCGCAAGGAAGAGAAGCCGTCACAACAAGTGCTTGCACTTCCCTACATCAGAGGATTATCGGAGAGGATAAGAAGGATTGGTTCCAAATACAACATCAGAACCTGTTTCAGATCTGGTAACACTATCCGTAGCAGCCTCACGAAAACCAGGCCACCAAACGCGGACTGCGATTCCAAGAATTGTATTTACCGGATACCCTGTGAGTGCGGAAAATCCTATATTGGTGAAACTAAGAGGCCATTGAATGTTCACATTGCCGAGCACAAGAAGCACACACAGTCCAAATGATTTTAAATAATGATGAATTCGTTATGTATCAATTTATTTTCATTATATACGAAGTTTTCGAAAAATCAATTACCATGAGTGGAATTAAATTTTAGTCAAACAGAGAATATATTCCAAAGGTGAAAAATGTTGTAATGAATTGCCAAATCATTCTGAATTTTGTGACGATTGGGGATTCGAAAACCAACATGTTTTCTTAGAATAATTCAATCTCTATAATTATAACTCACCTCTCAGTATCCATTTTCCATATTCAATTTCCATAAAGTCATACCAATCTCCAGAATATACATCGTTCCTGTCTTCCCAAGGTTCGATTTTTTCTTTAAGTTGTGGAGTATTGGTTATCTTGACAGATTTCAAAATAAAACTTTCTTTTTTTCCAACCTTTGGAGCAATGTTATTATAAATGTGATCCAGGAGATCATCCAATTTGGTGAACCACATTGTATAAGCCCTACCGCTTTTTTCTTTTTCCCTCCAGTAGGCGGAACTCTTGTGGGCGACAGGAAAGTATTTGATTTCTTTCTCTTCTCCTTCCTCTTCTTCTTCACTATAATGAAATATAATAATTACTACAAAATATATATCAACTCGTTCATAAGTATGATGTGAGTCAAGAAGCCTTTTTTGTACCAAAATATTCAATAATGAACCCATGAAATGACATTATAGAGTGATATCACTCTCCTATAAATTTTTATATGGAACAAGGGCTGAAGAACTTTCAGTTCTCCAGCCACCAATATAGGGATTTTTCAAATTTCAAATATTCAAATATTGAAATGTATTCGACAGCTTCAGCTGGAATTATAAGTTCTCAAAGTATCGAACCATTTTTTGATAGTACATTAATTAATAAACGTTATTTGGATTTCCAACAAATTTTCTCACCTACAGAGTAAGAAATACTTTTTCCAAATGATGATCCTAATGTAATTAATAGAAATATTTGGTNTGAAGCTATTTGAACTGTAGTTTCAGGGCATGCTGGACTGATAGAAAATTCATATTCTCTTACTAAGTTATCTCGAGAATCAGGAATCAGTCGTACACATGTTTTCAGGATCCTTCATAACTACAAATTTCATCCATATAAGATTAGACTAGTTCATGAACTAAACGAAGATGAATTCGATATACGTATCGAGTTTTGGGAAAGTCTCACTGAACAGATCAACTTGCATCAGAATTTCTTGTATAAAATTAGTTTTTCAGATGAATGTACGCTTAGTTTGAATGGAGAGGTGAATCGGCAAAATTGTCGACATTGGAGTGATACGAATCCTCATTTATACCGTCAAGTACATACCCAACGACCTCAAAAACTGAATGTTTGGGCAGGGATTTAAGGAGACCACATCATAGGACCTTCTTTCATCGATGATAATTTGACTAATGATAAATTTTTGGATATGTTGGAGAATCGAATAATACTGTGCATCAATAAGGCAATTGAGGATAATATAAATTTATTTGAAAACGAAATACTGTTTCGGCAAAATGCACCTCCTCATTGTGCAGATTCAGTGCGACAATTTTGTGATGATCATTTTTCTGATCGCTGGATTGGCAGAAGAGGTCGTACAGATGAGCCACCTAGATCTTCGGATCTCACTCCTGTAGATTTTTTTCTATGGGGTCATTTGCAGTCTAAAGTGTATGAGATAGAATCAAAAACATTAGAAGATTTGAGAGAGAATATCATGAGGCATTGCAGAGAAATAATTCCCGAGATTCTCAACCATGTGAGGGCATCAGTGGAAGTTCGTTTGTTCCATTGTATGGAAGTTGGTGAAAACGTTTTTGAACATTTACTATAGAACATTTTTTTCTTCTCATTGTCCAATCATCAGAGTTTGATTCAAGAATTAATATTTATTGCTTACATATTTGTCTCTATAACGAATATTCCAAAATGTGGCCGCCTGTATAACTGTTGACCTGTTTTTCTATTTTTCCTGCAAATCATTGTTATTCAGGGTGGCTCGTTCTCAACTCAAATAGTTTGTAGCTCCCAAACCATAAGGTTCAGACCATATGTTTTAGACTTTGTTGAATTCTGCTTATCATGGAGTATCTGATAATGCGAAACAATATAGGGTGATCAATTTAAAAAAAAAGTGGTGACATGCTCCAGGAGTGCGATAGGGGAAGTAGGTAGGTAGCTCTGAAGTAAGTGGGTCTATTCGATCCTCCACCGCAACCCATAAGGGTTTATTGTGGCTCACACCTATTCACACTCGACCAAATAAACCCAACTTTTTAACGAAGCCGATTAGTTTATATGGTGAGTGGTCTTTCAGATCAGATGGTGAGAGTACGGATCTGCCGAACTCAAAGAACCTGATTCGGTACCCAGCGGAGCAGGCACAAAAAATGATGCAGCTTCATCATTTTCCAGACAGAGGAGTAACACACTGTCTTTCGACAGTCCAAGTCTCTGCATGTGATAATTCAAACAACAGTGACCTGTAAGAAGGCCTGTTAGACATCGTAGTTCATCCCTACTGTAGTCCAACAACTGTTTGGGATCAAGTTTCGAAGGGTGAATACACGCCTTGGAGTGAGCCAATCCTGGAAGATTCTGCCAGAAGTGCATAACTCTTCTTGCCATCCAGGTGTTGAGTGTTTGGCAAAGCCCAAAGCGATGCCAATGACAGGTTCTGGTCCAATAAAGCCGCTTGCAGCAGCCTCCTTTGCAAGAGAGTCAGCAGCTTCATTGCCTTCTACCAAGGACCAAAAATTCCAATTATTATTTTTATAATTACCAAGCTTTATTTTTTTTTGTGCATACTCGATCGGGCATAAGCATTCAGCCTATTTATGGATAGCTAAGTGAGAAAATTAATATATTATAGTAGTAACTAATCCCTCGGCTTTCATTTTTTCGAAAGTTGGGAAATTTTGCTGGTGGGGTTGGGAAAATTTTGATTCCCTCCCCCCCTGGTTTTTTTTCGCTACTGCCCTGGTGCCGATGTATACTATTGTTGACGTGTTTTCTTACTTTTCCTGAAAATCATTGTTTTGAAAGTTATTCAGGGTGGCTCGTTTTAACTGGAATGCAGTTATTTGAGAAAAAGATATGATATCCAACATTGATAATTAATGAAGGAGCACTCCAACCAAGAAGTGATTTATTACGTGAAATAAGAATGGAAGGACCTTTTTTATGTTGATTATCAATTATTATCACGTTATTTTTGTGATCCTAATCATTAAAAAAATTGTTATAGGAAATTATTACCCCTCATCTTCAGTTTGGCCTTTCATTTTCATCGGTGAAGCTTCCCCTTCCGTAAACTTCTCGAAATCAATTACTTTCGTAACGACATCTTTGTCATCAAATTCATCCCCTGTAGGCATCGTAGCACTTTTTTCGATGTTGTCAGTTTTGATCGGTGGTTTTGTTTTTGGTTTTGTTACATTGATTATACTCCAGTCTTCCATACCGATAACATTTCCTATCTTGTCTCTAGGTTTGGGATCGAACACATAAAATGCTTTGTCATCTCTCCATAATGCTATCGATAGAGGTTTGGATTCCAGAATGGCTTGATTGAAAGAATCATCCTTCTCATCAGTTTTCAGGAAAGATTCAACAGTGGTTTTCAGATCTTTTTCAATGCTTCCTGTGGAAAGAAGTAATACAATTCAGATGAAAGATTTCATGAACAAGTTTCAATTTTTATTTAAGTTGTTATCAAAGCATAATAATATCAAATACCAGAGGTCGGCAAACGTCGAGCCGCATGGAAGTTTTGAAAAAGCGGATGTAGCTGTTCAAGTACTCTGATGAATGTTGCTCTTCCAATGAGATGTTTTGATTTATATTGAGCACCGTGATTAACACAGTACCTATATTTCATAAATTGTAAATGAAGTATATTTATTCACTTATTGAATTATAATGATTCGTCATTCATCTATATTTTAGGTGTATGCCTCCTAATGATACAATATCATTAGCCATGCTATAACTTAGTGTAAACGTGTTGAATTTAATAAAGTTAATAGAGACGAATGTCCTCTGATCAGCGAAGACGGCCAACATCCTGCTCTGAACAGTGTGAAACGAACAATAGCTTTTTCTACAAATCAGAATCCCCTGAATACAATTTTAGGAAAGCAAATTTTTCTTTATTGTATGATATGTTTCTCAGTATAGATCAGTCAGTTAAAAATGCAATTACCGACGTTGACAATTTTTCAACTTGTGTCCCAATTTTTGAAAATAAAACAAAAAAGAATCCGCCTTGGTAGGTAGGTAGGTCTAAAGTGAGTGGGTCTGTTCGACCCTCCACCGCTCACACCTATTCACAATCGGCCAAATAAACCCAGCTTCTTAACGAAGCCGATTAGTTTGTATGGTGAGTGATCTTTCAGGTCAAATGGTGAGAGTCTGGATCTACCGAACTCAAAGAACCTGGTTCGGTCGCCAGCAAGGCAGGCACAAAGTATATGCTCTGCTGTTTCATCATTTTCCAGACAGAGGCAACACACAGCCCAACTAGCAATTTCGTATTTTATAATAGTTGCGGAAACGTTTCGGAGAAACAAAACTGCTATAAATAGGAAATTGGCACCGTCTTATAAAACATTACAGTACTTATCAATATTTTGTAAGGCCTTTTACAAACACTACAAAACAGTTTTATAAACATTTCGGCAGTTACTATAAAATTTGTCTAACGCTCTTAAAAAGTAGTTTTGTAAAGACTTTCCTTACTGCACTTTTGCAACATATTTAAGCGATACTTATAAAATAATCAGAAGACAATTTTATTAGAGTTTTTTAGTAGTTCCAAGTAGGCGTTATAAATTATNAGCGAACCTATACAATTGAATTTGAACGCGAACGCATACGCTCAAATCACAAATTTATCGGAAACCTAGATACTCCCAAATGAATTAAATGCCGTGAATCACCTTGTATGGTTTAGCTGCTATAACTGAACTCCCATCCAACCCTAACAACTCATTTCTATATGAAATATTTTTTCGAAACACAACTAAGCATCCCGTTATTTTGATGGTTTTTTTACACAGAATACTAAGAATACGGTCCTATTAATATTTGTTTGCCTTTCTGCTCCGCTGTGGCTCTGCTGTCGTTACACAACTATTGTGATTGTTTATAAGTTAGTTGGCAACATTTTTGCTAATAAATGACACTTTGGTGACTCTTATAAAATAAATTACTTATATTCATCACATATTACCTTTTTTATGATGAATATTCGTTTTATAATGCTAAATACATATATGAACGCGGATTAAATATTGTTGATATTTAATTTGTCGTGCGTTTAGTGGAAATAACGGGTAAGTTTTTGATGTCAGAATATATCTTTTAATTAGCTTCAATAATTGACCAGATATTTGATAATTCAGGCCTATATTTTCAGTTGATAGTTTTGTGTTTTTGAAGCTGGATTTGACTCATTTCATCTACGTTTTAGGTATATATGTTCACACAATTCAATTTCCGCTTGAAATACAGTCGCAGTAGATAACTCTGTCCTGGGTCTGCGACTGAAAACACCTGCACCAGAACCGGAAGGTGTTTTTGATCTATCTGTGAACCAACAACTATCTGATCTTAATCCGCCTTGGTACAATCATGAAATAATTGCGAAAATTATTAGAAAAGAGAATACACGCAAGAACCTCAAAAAACTTAGAACACCTTCGCTAGTAAAGGAGTACAAATCCTTATGTCGAGAAATCAAACAGATGATTAGCACAGCTTATGCTACCTATATTCAGCAAGTCGAAAGGGATATCTACAATGATCCTGAGACATTCTGGTCATTTGTTCAATTCAAGGGAAGAACACCTTGAATATCTGGCATTATGACATATAATGATTTAACATTTGACAATTCTCAAGATGAAGTCAATGAGGTAGTATCACAATTTTTCTCAGACGTTTATATTGACTCTATTTCCGATATTCTGCAAGCATCAACTAGCACACATAATAACTCTTACATTTCTATGATGCAGATCACTGAATTTGATGTTAGCAAGACCTCTAAAACACTCAACAATAAAATGACTTCGGGTGTCGGTAACATACCTAGTTTCATAATAAAAGACAGCATAAATATTTTAGCTAATCCACTTTGTCATATTTTCAACATTATTATCAAATCGAAACATTGTGAAAAAACAATCAAAATTTGTTCAGTTTTGAAATCAGGTGACACAGCAATTATATCTAACTACAGACCTTTTGCTATTCTGTGTACATTATTCGAAATTAAAATTTAATCTGCATTACTCAGGTAATATCGGAGACCCTTGACAATGATATCCAAAAAAAAAATCTGTTTGAAATCTGTTTTTCAGTTAAAGGCTTTTGACACCATTGATCATTACTTATTACTAAGTAATGTTACTTTCTCAGAAGAACTCAGTTCATAGACTATGGAGGGTACACGTCCGATCGCTGTATAGCTTGCTTGGGAGTCCCACAAGGCTCTAATCTAGGTCCACTTCTTTTTTGATATTTATCAACGATCTATCATTTGAAATTAGTGCCACCCATCTCCTACTTGCTGACGATTTGAAAATATACAGTCCAGTTACCTGTATTCAAAATTGTTCCTTACTACAAAATAATTTAACATCATTGAAACACTGGTGCACCAGAAAAAATCTCAAATTCAACATCGACGAATGCAAAATCTCAACGTTGGCGTTAACAACATCCAATTGCCTACAGTTACAAAATAAGTAACATTGTTCTTGAAAGATGCTTCAGCTTCATGCATTTCAAAGGAAATGTTCCAAACATATTCTTTAAATGTTATGGCTATTACCCCGAGAAAGGATATGCCCATAAATACCTGCTGAATACTTTTCACTTTCAATCTCTGCAAGAAAGACAAGACTGCTTGGCAATTACCACTCTCCACGGCATAGTAGATTGTCCCTATTTGTTGATTAGGATCAATTTTTATGTACCAAGATTTGTTTCCTGCCAAGAAATTACTTTTTACAATTCGGCTTCTGGCACTAATGTACTCCTCAAGTCACCACTTTATTCAATGTGTAAAATCTTCAACGATAATTGTACGTCTTGTGATGTCAACTTTATTTCATCAATTTATAAGCGTAACCAGAATTAGTATCATTATATTTATTTGACTTCTTTAATTTTACCTATCTTGTAGTTATATTTTACCTTGATTTTTTTTTCTGCTATTGGGTGTACACTTGTTGAAAAAGAATGTATTATTGTTATTTCAATTGATTTTTTATAGTCCTCTATATTTTGTTCGATAATACTTCTATTCCTATTATAGAGTATGATTGAGACATCGTCAGCATAACCAGTTGCATGTATATTAGATTATTTGGATAAATTGAACATCGTGTCATTAACATAGATTATAAGAAGTAAAGGACCTGAAACAGAACCCTGCGGTACTTCATATTCTGTTCTCCGCACTCCATAGTTTTTCATTTTTTTATCGAAATATTAACTGTATCAAATGCAAGAAAAAGGTCAAATGCATTGAGACCAAATGTAACTGACTGCAACCTTACGAACAGAATCTCTCTCTCTCTCTCTTCTCTCTCTCTCGTCACCCGTCGATGTCCATGTATTTACTATTTTGATGTTTGTTATTCATGTAGCCTAGACATTAAGTTTTTTGACTCATATTGACCAATTATTCAAACGGTGAGCAACTGAATTTTTCATAATCAGACAAATGAAAGACAAATTAATTGAAGATTCCATTAGAATGTCTTATTTTTCGATAGTATACTATGATTGTTTTGGGTGCATCAAGTATTACCGACAAAAATGTTTGTCCTGCAGAAAATAGTTTTACAAATTATCGTTATTTAGTCAAAAAACTACGTATTAGGCTCTCGAGTGATTCCTACATAAATTTCGAAAGTTTGATAATAGACATGAATGAGCTCATACTAAATCATCAGAATATTTCATCACGTCATCTTGTACCTATGAGTAATATTTCCAAAATGTTATGCAAGATGTTCGAAATAGATGAAGATAAGAATGGGACAAAACTCAGATTTTTCTAATGAAACACCCTGTATTTGAGGATATCTGAAATTCCGAAATGGTTATGAGTCATTTTCATGAAACATTATATTCCAAAAATCAACCGTTCAAGAGATATTTCAGATTTGCTTGAAACAGTAAAACATGCGCATGTCCATCATAAAACTACGGGCTTCGAATTCTCAATTTCAAATAGTTACAGAAAGTTCATTGGAGCTATTGATTTGCCATCATGATTTTTATTGAAGACACGAGAACGTTTCATTTTTGGTAATAATAATAATATTTAATAATCCCAAGAAACCAGAATGTTTATAACAGGGGTAAAATTCAAAATAATGAATAAATAAATAATTTCAATACTAACATATCAAGCAAAAGTACAGCACATAAATACATATATACATCCATACATATACATTACATAAATACATATATACATACACACATATACATTACAATTACTCACATTAGTATCAACCCAGGTGAAAATATACGGGGTATTATATTTGAATTGAGAAGTAATGAAGCGTGTCTGTATGTTTACCTCTTCTTTCAGTGCATCTAATTGTATAAAATCAAAATTCTTAAAGTAAATCACAACTCTCTGAGAGATATATTTCTGCGCAAGGAAAAATTATTGTGGTTTGCAGGTATCATTATAGAGCCATGTTATCCAAATACCTTCCCAATGAATTATTCAATAAGTTGAAGTGACTATTGTCATTAAAATATTCTGAAAATGGAAACATAATTATATACCACATAAATTGTTTGTTTATTATACTTGAATCATAGTTTATTTCCTAAACTTTATGTATGAGTTTTAGTTTGTATTCATTATTTTTATAATCCTCAAGATTTCTCGTTGCAGAAGTTTTTTACAACCATATATCCATATATTTGTTGTGTAGGTCGTTCGAAGTTTTCAACGATTGCCTGAAGTACTTTCAGCTGCTTTTCTTCTGAGCCAACTGTCCCGTCTGTTTGTGAAATGTTTCAAAATTATTTTTACGGTGGAAAGGTAGCCTGGTGGGTGGCTCCACTCACTCAAACGACCGCTGTGTGAATCGGTGGTTCAATCCGCGAGGCCGGACGATCGATTTTCACTTCCTATTATCCAACCGTTCAAAGGGTAAGACCTCGTTAGTCCTTAGCTCCACAAGTTTCGACTTTTGAGAGTTTTTTTGAGGAGAAACAGATTTTAAACAGATTCAAATCTGTTTCAAATCTGTTTTTCCGTTAATCAGCTGTCGCCCCCATACGAACGACAACTCTCAGAAGTTGAGAAACTTGTGCGAGCTAAGGACTAACGAGGTCTTACCTTTTAACGTGTGATTCCTAACACGG